CACATTTTGCCACACAGGTTTCGTTTTCTGCGTCATCAGTAATTGTTTTGTTAAACATTTTTTTTCTTTCTTTGTGTTTTATACTAATATGTTCCTCTGATGTATACAATGTGTTATTGCTCCAAACCAAGCCCTCTAGGTTTGGACGACCTAACACGGTCATTAGAACTACAGCAGTGAATTCTCTCTTCCTACAAATGTTTATACACGTTAACATTCGAAAGTAGAGGTAAGTAATGTTGAAGTGAATAAAAATAGGCCTAAAGAGAATAAGCTTTAAAAATCTTAACGTTGTCTCATTAATATTTCGTATTGTTTTCTTAATTTTATAAGCTAAATCCAATAAAAAAAAACTATCTTAAAGTGAACGTCAAGACAACGCTTCACATGGAACAAAAGATGTAAAGTCGTGCCAAGCTTACGTCAAGATATGTCTCGTGCATGGTGTGTTGTAGACACCAGTTTCGCCTGGCCGAAACTCTCCTGGTAAGCTCTAAATAATACACAAAAAAATGTTGAGGATTTTTTTTTCTCAAAAATTGTTGAATTCGATTTACTAACTAATAGGATTTTCACACACACACACACACGAAAAGCTGTTATTGATCATATAATGATAATTTTATGAACGCGATTCTTCATTCTATGAAAAGTACCCAAAATTCCCTGCGGAATTTTATTCCTAATGGGCTCAGCAATAGAGGCAGACTCATTTAACGCTCAACAATTCCCACGTGACAAACCAGCCTTCTAGGGCGTATCTCATAAATATATGTTGTAGACTTGTTCGATCAATACTTGAGAACCCCATGTTAATGTAGGGTACAGTATATTAATATGTCTCCATACTAACCCATTGGCGGGGCCTTTATTTTACGGGTATTCACTGCTTCCCGGGCAACAGTGCAACCACCATTAAAACTGACTGCTTTAGCGACTCTGCGTGAATTGACACGGAAAGCAGACGAGACGATAACTGTTATGCCTGTACGTAGATCTCAACAAACCGCCAGTTCAACGAACAGGATTTAAAAGTTACTGACACGTTAGACTGTAATCAGGAGTGAAGAATTAGGATTTGATAAAAACATGTAATTAATGGTGTAGAAAGGTTATAATTATCAGACGTTAAACTGTGTTATATTTGTGGGTTTACCATAAGAAGCAGTCTTAGTTTGGGTAAGATATGTTAAAGGTAAATTCGTGAACAGTTGTCAAATGTTTTTCTAGATACGTTTAGGCTTAATCAGATACATACTTCACTTCACTTCATTCCAAACTATCGACTCGGTTAAAAGGTTAACGTGACAACACAATCTATATGCATCTCACAATTGCTGTCATAGCAACGTTTCCAGATAGTAAACATCTGACAATGGTTATCTTGGCACAAATAAAACAAAACTTTACAAACTTCAACAGTCTGTGTTAGGCCTTAAGAAGGCCTGTAGCTTAAAACGTCACACAAATAAAACACTTTTTTACCTATAATTATCATCTTTTTATTTGGGCTTCTTATTAATTACATAGCGGTTCTATCTAACTTTATAATTGTGAACAGGTATCTTGGCAGCAACGTCAATTTATGAATATATATATTGTTAACATAAATCACCTTAGCAACACTTCCGAACTCTGATTGGATTAAAAAGTTGTCACGGAAACAGCTTTAGATTATTTCAACTACTGAATTATAAATCCGTAGTTTCATTTGATAACTGTTCTTATTAAGTTAACTGGTTAATAGGAGTTAGAAATTAGGTTATCGTTTCTTGTCAAATGGTTGAATTTGAAATTGTTAAGCTAAAGCTTGTCAAGGAAAGATATAAATGGTATAACTGTTCTCTTAAATATTTACAAACAACACCTGAATGGCCAAAGACTATTTTTTATGTTTTATAGCATTAATATAGCATTTTATGTATCATTTTGAGAGTTAACCAAACAAGTCTTGTTCCACGTACTTTGACAGATGTAACTTTAGTTACAAAGTAACATGCCACAGACAAACAACGAAATATGTAAATGTATCTTGATCGCATGTTCCAGGAATTTTCCTAATCTATTATAATAATACTCAATTTTATCTGCCCTGAAAATGTTCGTGCATTTTATTTAAACAGATGCAAACAAATGCCAGATGTAAGTATACTTTAGTAGGCATCTTGTACAACATATTAAAACCTGATCAAAAATTTTTAAAAGGTCTAACGTTAGTTCGTAGAATATTATTATAAGTTTATTTATTTATAGTATTAAGTACAGTATATTTGAGCCCTAACTAAATTAAAGCAAAAGATGTACATAAGTTACAGTGGTAGTTCATCTCTTTATCGAATATAGGCCGTACTTAATAAAGGCTTAACTAATGTTAGGCCTAAGACAAGTGAACTGACAGATTCTGGTGTCTGAGATTAGAATTGTTTTGAATTAATTGTTCTAGAAATTCTGTATTTAAAGAAGTAAATATAAAGATAAGATACTAATTTGACTCCAAATGTATTGTGGGTATCTGATAGTACACAAATATTACTTCCAATCTTTGTGTTAGTAAAAGATGAGAAAGTTATCTTATTAATTCTGTATACGAGGGTATTTTCCAATGTCTATTGTTTCAAACGATAATATATGACGCATTCATACGTGCACGACTAATTTTATATCTGAAACAATAGATTTTGAGCAACTCTATACATGGATTGAAAATATTTTTTAACCAACGGAATTATTTTATACAAGAATCAAAGATTGAGTTAAGCAGTTCTAGGATAAAAACACATCACTCCGATGTTGCCCGTAAATGGACTTAATGGAACATGGCTCGTTATTCTGACTCAGTCGATGATGTTACAGACAGGTTTCCGAGCCCGGGAACTGCCAAGAACAAAGAGACGTGGTTCCGTTATCAAATAGAAGTGCTCGCTTTTGTACGCTTGGCTATCATGTATCTGTTTCAACCAGAACTCGCATGAGTACAGAATAGGGGGGTCACTCTAGTTTTGGGAACTTCCTTCCTCTTTTGTCGATAACAACAATGAGATTCAATTAGGATTAATTTACCGTCTGTGAAAGAAACGTTGTTACAAAATCTCTATCCTTCCTTAGTCCCGAGAAAGGGGCTTTATGTTCGTATCAATCTCGTGTATGGATGTGTTCTACATCGCGCACGGTCGCTGCACAAACGCAGGGTAAACTGATCTAATTTACTCTTATTTCATCTAGCTATAACTGTAATGGCAAGGATTTATAGAGGTACTGAGTACATTGCAATGCTTTACACAAAGGTAAGTGAAACCGCAAGCGTATAGCCTTCGAAGTTCTATCCAGACGAAACCAAATAAGACCTAACTACGAAACCAAATAAGGCCTCACTATCTTTTTTTTTGTTTCTTTATTGTTATTAAAGTTATTATTATTTATTTACATTGTACAAAAATATGAACCTAATGAAATCGAAAGGAAAAAATCATTGTTGTCAGTGTGGGATAATGTAAGATAATAAAATCGAATATTTCAGTCAGTACATTAAGAAATAACAAAAACAAGTTATCCATCTCGTGGGAATTCTATGAACTTCAGCCGTACTTAACTGGAAAACATGGCAGTATTTCTATTCGCTTTTCTTTCAACTGTTCTGATTAAGACGAACAGAAACAAACCGGAACACCAAGGTGTAGTATACTGGACTAATATTGTCAGGATTCCAGTTATCTATTGCTGCGAATAAAGTTTCTTAATTAACTTTTTGCCGTGAATAATGTGTAACACGTGGAAATATTGTTGTTCTTGTGTAACTCTTGGATAGGCTATTGTTCTTTTGAAACACTTAGGAAGTCGACTGTTCCAACAAAACAACGGAAACATCGTTTTTCTTGCAGGGCATTGGAAATATTGTTGTTCTTGTGTAACTCTTGGATAGGCTATTGTTCTTTTGAAACACTTAGGAAGTCGACTGTTCCAACAAAACAACGGAAACATCGTTTTTCTTGCAGGGCATTGGAAATATTGTTGTGTTTTTGTAACGCTTAGAAACTTGATTGTTCTTACGGAATACTTTGAAAGATTATTTTCTTTGTGTAACGCAGTATACCGTGTAAAGACTAAGAGGCAGCATTGGTTGCCCTGGATTCCTTATACTTTCTCTCCCATATAAATATGACCACAATTATTTGTTGTTTTCTTAGTGCAAATCTACACAATGAGCTCTCTTCACCCTTCAAATTCGATGACGAGGAACCCACTTTGAGACTAATAATGGTTGGAGACGGCTGTTCACTCTGTTCCCCGCAGGGATTCGAACCTCGGATTTTAGCGTTGCTAAGTCCATAAACTTGCTGCTTACCCACCGGAAAACGAATAATTTACTCAATCAAAGTTATTATCAACATTGATTCTTCTGCAATAATATCTTCGCTATTATTATTTTTTCCTCTTTACTTATTTCATATTAGAAGCTACGTGACGGATAACATGAATTCAGTGCATGTGAGGTCCAGTTCAATCTACACTTTGACCAACGTGTGTTATTGGGTTATACTAGTCCCTTGAACTTAGACTTGAAGATTAAACAATTTTCGGAGTACTAAGTATATTTATTCCAAAATTAGTATATTGATTAAAATCTAAAACAAGTGGATAAGCTCTGAATTCAGAACAACAACCCAGCATATCTAACTTTATGACGCGAGCTATGGAATTACAATTTTTCTTATGTAACAGTTAGAAATATTGTTGTTCTTGTGTAACACTTGGAAACATTGTTGTTCTTGTGCAACACTTAGAAAGATTGTTGTTCTTGTGCAACACTTAGAAAGATTGTTGTTCTTGTGCAACACTTAGAAAAATTGTTGTTCTTGTGTAACACTTGGAAACATTGTTGTTCTTGTGCAACCCTTAGAAAATTGTTGTTGTTGTGTAACACTTAGAAAGTTGGCTGTTCTTGTGCAACACTTAGAAACATTGTTGTTCTTGTGCAACACTCAGAAAGTTGGCTGTTCTTGTGCAACACTCAGAAAGTTGGCTGTTCATGTGCAACACTCAGAAAGT